CGGGGGACGCCGGCGGCCGGCGGCGTCGGCAGGGGGAGTCAGTAGAGGTGGCCGAAGGGAACATCTTCCTCCGGCCGGGCGAGGCGAAGAGGACGGGGCTGACTGCAAGGGAAAAAGTGAGTGGCCGTCGCTTTACGACTCGCTGTTGTGTGTGGGAACGGTTAGGTCGGTGCCTGGAGGCGCTGGCGTGGAAATTCCGGCTCCCGGAGGGCGGGGCGCCGAGTTGGTGGCTTGGCCGGCCCCGGCGCGGTGCCCTTCGACCTGCAGGGCCGGCCTCCCCGCTCCGAGTCCTCTGAGAAGCGCTTCCTTGGGAGAGACGGGAGCGCCCCCGTCGCCCTTCAGCCCCCCAGGCTGGAGTGTTGGCTGCTGCCGCGGAAGAGCGGAAACGGAGGGCTGTCCCGTCTCCGAGGTCGGCGGGAGGAGTGCGCCTCGCTGGGCCGCCGAGGGAGATGGCGACGCGGAAGGCAGCAGCCCGTGCGGCGATCGGTTCGCGTCCCGCTCGAAGGGGCTGGTTGTCCGGGAGGTCAAGGCAGGCCTCTGGGTATCCCATTCCGAGGGAGTGAGGAACTAAGGCGGGAGAGGGTGGTGGCGTCTTCCACGTTCTCGACTTTTTAGGTCTCATTCGGGGCAGTGGGTCTTTGTTTCTGTTTTGGGTCCCCTGGTGACCTTTTTTTTGGGTAAATCCCAAGTCAGATCATGTAGCGTGACAACGTTGAGGCAGAGGATTAGACAGCGAGACTGTCCCAGGAAATCTGGGGGATTGGAATTTGAAAATTTGAAGCCCTGGACCACTTTCATGTGGGTCATGTATGCCAGTTCTCTTGCCTTTTCTAATGTATGTGTCTGGTTATCATTGGTGGTTTCTTTTGGGCACTTAAGAGGTGGGCTGGGCACAGTGGGTCCTGCCTGTAATTTCAGCGCTTGGAAAGGCCAAGGTGGGAGGATTGCTTGAGCTCCGAAGTTTGAGACCAGCCTAGGCAAAATAGCGAGACCTTATCCCTACAAAAAAATTATAGCATTAGCCGGTCGTGGTGGCATGTGTCTGTAGTCCCAGCTACTTGGCAGGCTGAGGCAATAGGATCGCTTGAACTCAGGAATTTGAGGCTGCACTCTGGGCGACAGAGTGAGACCCCGACTTAAAAAGAGAAATGGAGAGAGGGAGCGAAAGAGGAAGTTACCTATGTTCTGTTAAATGGCTTTTTAATTTTTTTGAGTTGGAGTCTCGCTGTGTTGCCCAAGCTGGAGTGCAGTGGCATGCTTATGGCCACAGCAGCCTCAACCTGCTGGGTTCAGGCGATCCTTCCACCTTAGCCTTCCAAGTAGCTGGGACTACAGGCACACACCACCATGCCTGGCTAATTTTTTGATTTATTGTAGAGACAAGATCTCATCAAGTTTCCCAGGCTAATCTTGAACCCCTGGGCTCAGACAATTCTCTTGCCTCCACCTCCCAAAGTGCTAGGATGACAGATTTTAGGGAATAGGGGAAGAAAAAAGCATGAGTT